AAAATGGTCTCACTTAAGTGATTGGATACTCACGTAAGTGATGGGGCATTTACTTTTCCATCAAATATTTATCAAAAAATTTTACTTTTAAAAGGTTTTAATATTTTGTTGTATTTCCTTTTACTTTTAAAATGTGAATTAATCTTCTTGGGATGGATTCGACTAATTTTTTTGTGATTTCTGGAGTGATTTTACCCGCTGGAGATAAAAACGTTTCCCCCCCCCGTCGTAAATTGTTGCCATTGCTCGCTTTTAAATCGTTGAGTTTGTTACCCATAAATTTGTTAATGTTTTACAAAATATGAAATGGATTATAAAACAAATTCCAAATTTCAAATCTTCCACATGCCCGTATTCGTAAGAGGATTACGTCTTTCAAAATTGGATGGCTCTACGTACCGTTGTTTGATCACAATGCGAGAAATAGACATACATTTATGCAGATTTTTCATTATTTAATTTCTTCAAACGTAATGCAGAACTAAAAACATTTGATGGCAACAATTTGAAAAGTAAAACGGACATTTATAGTGCTTCAACGCAAAATCGCAAAACGAAAACAATAGTCATTCAAAAATTTTTTTTAGTCCAAAGCAAAGCAAAATTGTCTAAAAAATGTGCGAACGCTTTTGTTCCACTTTCTAACCTGAAAGAGGAACAAAAGATAGATAGGTATTGATGGATAGTCAAAAACCTTTTATTACCTAAATCGTTCAAAATGCTACAAAGTGAAATTAGTCATATCCCGTCGTTACTGAGACATTTTATTGGCTATTAAGCGCAGGATTATTGCATAATCCATCTGCTCGAATTTTGATGTAAAACGCTTTCCGTGGATATCTGTGGTCTCTTAGGAATGAATGACTTTGGCTGAGAATTCGGCGATCATTGAAAACCAGGTCGTGAACTTGATCTACAATTTCATGCTAGTTGACACAATCGAAGTCCTGCCAGATTTTGCGTCATTTTTCGTCACAAAATCTCCACGCTGAAAGTTGGCACACCACTTCTTCACAGTCGAGTAGGACGGTCATTTATTATCTGGTGCACCTATACAGCATCACATTATTTTCTTCTGCACAAAAACAGGAACTTTATGATGGCTCAGATTTCTGCCTTCCGAATTTCACACTTTGCTTAGACAGACATATTTCCAGCAGTTGTAGGCAAAGGAGGGAATTAGTACAATGATTCTCCAAATGGCTTTGAAACTATCCTTTGACTTCGTGAAATTTCCAAATGGCATGTACCATGGCTTTCCTCTTTGCAAATGATTTCCTACCAGTTTCGAACGCTTTTCACAGTTGCCAATCTACCCGTTGGATCAGGCGTCCAACGGTCGAGCAGTAAAGTTACTAAACATTGGTAATTCGACATGGGTTCGATTCCAGGCGAGCGGACTGATTGTGCATGAGCATTTTCATGGTTTTCCCCATGAATAACGTGGATACAAGCCAGCTTCTTTTAGAAAAGCTTCCTCTTAAGCAGAGGGCCCTAGTGAGCTTTTTCATAATCAAATAAACCAAACTCCCGGTAAATAATTTTCGTATTTTGGTTTGGTTTATTTGATTACGCCAAAGCAGTTTTAGGGCTACCATAAAATGGCAAGGGAATGCATGGTTGCCACATTTGGCGAGAAATCGCTCATTTGGCGACAAAATTGGCGATGTACCATGGACAGATGGAGAACCTTCTGGAACGAATTCTTACCGGTTTAGCCCAGAAATGTTCTCGAACACAAGCCAAAAGCTATATAAACCCTGCTGGTCCACAGTCAGTTGGTGTGTGTGCCTCGTCTAGCGAGTTGATAGTCAGTCATTGAGCAAGTGTCTCGAAGTCTAGCGCCGAGTTGGTCTTCGAGTGCATCGAGAGTCTTTTAGTGCATCGTCAAGTTTTTATCTTAGACTGTATTGAATTGAAAGCTATACTCTTGTGTATCATCGAGTGCATCGCGTGGAGTGTGTCGAGAGTACGTGGAGTTCTGAGAACGACTGAACCGAAATGTTGGAAGCTGAACTCTGGTACTTTGCAGTGAAGCTGTCTCCACCGTTATTGCCTGACAGTGTGAAGGCTGTGTCGCTGAACGTGTCAGCGTGTTCATAACAGTTCGACGACTGTAAAAGTGATTTCAGAGCTATCTGATTAATATTGATAAATAAAGTGTGTTTCGATACTTCATCAAGTGTCGTCGTTATTTACTCCAAATCTATGAACCCCATACGAACGTGAAGGAAGAAAATAACGTAACACTATTAATAAGTATTCACATGTAAAATGATCCTGCGTTCCTTAAAGGTAGCAAGATTGGAAAAGTGGTTTGCTTTAAAAATAATCTCATGTATTTAGCTGTAGAGTTAAAACTAATCGTCAGTATTATGCAGAAAACTGACTTTAAGGCAGATTTTCCATTCCGAGTTATCAAAACTAGAGATGAACTGCCTAAATGAAGGAAACATGAGTTTAAATGCTTTGTAGAGTACATTTATTGCTACGAAAACTAAATTGTCAACAAAAAAAAACAGAAAGAAATGTAAATATACTGACAAAGAAATTTAATTGGAACAAATTGCAATATTCTTCCAAAGTCTTGTTTTAATCCTAAGGCAACCAACCCCCTAACAGTGCATATATACTGCACCGTTGATGCTATTCTTTCCCTGCAATTTCTCTGTATTGCTGTAAACTTTTGCCCGATCGTTGTCCAGGACTCGGACGAAGTAACCAAGATTGTAAATAACTCCAACTGCATAATATGCAATACTTTTCCGCCTGCTGCTGCCAGAATAAGCCACATCTCTAACTTCACCATACTTCTTTTTCTACTATCTAAAATACTAGCTGCGTATACAAAATTGTGGGGTGCCTATTGCACCCACGATCATGTGTAAAACAGATATTGTGTGTCCATAACTGCTTTATCCAGTAATAAAATTATCTTAGTATTAAAATTAAAGTTAAAATTATTATTATTTAAAAAAATTATCTTAGTATTAAATTAAAGTTATTAAAATTAAATCCAGTATTAAAATCCAGCCTGTCTGCAAGTCTGCCATTCCATTACAGCTATTTTCTGCAAACTTACTTTGGCCATGACTAAGAAGTGAATTGGTTAGAAGTGAAAAGTGATGCATTATGCATTCAGAAGAAAAAGTGGAAAAGAGAATCAAAAAGTTTTGGTTCTCAATAGACACCTTTAATGTGACTGGTTTAAGAAGTACCAAACTGCAGCATTATGTAAGGTGATATGATGCAGACTAATTTTGAAATGATACTGTTCATATTGATATGTTATAGATAGTTAGTAATTTTAGGAGAAAAAAAAAAGAAAATATCCAAATTAAAAAAAAAAAAAAAAAAAAAAGAGTATTTGCGTATTATTCCATCGACTTGGCCAAGTAGCACAATTTAGTGCGAGTTTTAGATAAGCATGACATACAATATACACATAACATATATGTTTTTGTTTGATGTAACCCCAATTGATTCTTCATAAGCTGTCTTTTTTTAATGTATATAGAGATAAAATATAGATTAATTGTTATATATATATATATATATAAATATAGATTAATTGTTATTACAGTTTTAAGTATAGTAGTTCGTGGGCTGTAACTACACTTGCTTCATTTAAAGCTGATTGAAAGAAATAACATCTGTTAACAGCTGAATATGACCACTGAAACAGAAATAGATTTTAACAATCACCTGCACACTATGAGTATAAACTTCTAAAATTAGGCAGAAATCAACTAAAGCTTTTTTAGGAAGTGAGAGAATGATGCAGATGCAGCTTCTGCAAAAGTAGATAGTGGAGTGTGCATAAAGATGAATTTTATTGCAGTTTTCTGTTATTTGATTATGGCACAGCACTCGAGGACCACTTACTTAAGGGAAGAGATGTCTTTGTGGAGGACTTTTTAAGGAAAACTGACTTGTATACATGTTATATATGGGGAAGCAAATGCAGCCAACATATTTATCAGGATTTGGACTTCTACCTGAACAACCAATGTTCAGCCACTCGGCTACTGAGGGGTAATGTCTTAATTTGAGAGCTGCAGATAGAAATGCAACTCAGAATTCTGAAGGAATAATTGGTGCAAATTTTTCAGAATCATTGATCGTTTGATGATCAATTTTCTTGGTTTATAGGATAACACATAAGTACCAAAAAGTAATTTGAAAAATTTTGAAACCCATAAATTTGTCAACATTCATGAAATCCTAAGAAATTTTGTAAAGTTTTTCAGAAAATCCACGGCTTATAATATAAAACAACTGAGAGTGGTGATCCGTAAAGTTTTTGGAAAAATCCACGACTTGATAAAATTACTTAGTCATAATATAAATTACTGAAAGTGGTGACATGTCAAGTTTTTGGGAAAATCAAGGGCTTAATAAAATAACTAAACTACTTGCAATATAAATCAACTGAGAGTGATGACTCGTAAAGTTTTTGGAAAAATCTACAGCTTGTTAAAATTACTAACCTACTCATAATAAAAATCAACTGAGAGTGGTAACTTGTCAAGTTTTGGGGAAAATCCACGGCTTGATAAAATTACTAACCTACTCATAATATAAATCAACTGAGATTGGTGACTTGTCAAGTTTTGGGGAAAATCCATGGCTTGATAAAATTACTAACCTACTCATAATATAAATCAACTGAGAGTGGTGACTCGTCAAGTTTTGGGGAAAATCCACGGCTTGATAAAATTACTAACCTGCTCATAATATAAATCAACTGAGAGTGGTGACTCAGAATCCAAACCATTGATTTGAAAATATTAACTACACAGAACATTGTGCTGTATATATTTATGATAAATATCCATAAAATAAACTATATATTGTCTTATTGCATACCTTAAATGGAAAAATGTAATTATTTTTTGCAGTTTATGCAATTATTTTTTTGCAATCATCATGATTTTATATGTCTGTACAAGAAAAAAGTTCTGCCATTTTATTTTAGCTTTTTTATTTTTCATTTTCAGTGCATTGCATGGAAGTTCACAGAAAAGCAGTCCTGGAGGCTCTATTGGTAGAGGTTCTAGTTATTCGCCTATACAGAGAACAGCATCACCAATGGAACCTGACAATACTCAGTATCGTCATTCGCCTGTGCCTTCGATGCAGATGCCACCTTCAGCAAAAGTATGGAGATGAATGTTATGTCACTTAATTAGTTAAATGCATTTCACATTTAATATTAGTATGTGATCTTTTTAAACTGATAGTGCACATTAAAACCTCCAAAAATACATTTATCTGTGATATGTAAAATTCAAGTTCTACTTAATGATTTATTGAATTATTTTTTTTATTGTGTAAGGTTATTATAATTTCAATCTTTACTATAACTTCTCCTTTCCGTATTCCTCCCCAGAATGCAAATGAGTAGCAAGTATTTGCATTGAGGTTTTCATATTTTAAGGAAGAGTGAGTTTCCTGCCAGCTCTGATAGTTGTAATTATCGTATTTGACGGCATATAAGACGCACCCTTATTTAGACGGTCACACACAAGGAAAAAAAGTTTCAATAGCGGGGTTTCTTTTAGTTCTCACATTTCATAAAAGCCAAATATACAATTATTGAATGCAATTACCTTCACGTATAAGACGCAGGTAACTTTTTTTGAGACCAAATTTAGGAAAAAAAGTGTGTCTTATATGCCGTCAAATACGGTATTCAGCTTGCATCTGTCGCTCTCAACACTTTGATTTTGATCCTCTGGTAAAGTAGTGAGCCAGCTTTTAGTAATATTTAATTTTGTAGTCTTTGACTACTGTTTAAGGTTTGATTTAAATCCGACTGTTCTACTTAGCTTCATCACCATGAGCTGTGACTTATTTTTGTAAGCCCAAGATAGTGCCTTTGGGATCTAGATTCTGTTTAAATAAAAAGGTTTTTAACCTTCTCAATTTTTCAGACATAGTGATAATTCACTTCACATTTGTTAATGTTCTGGACTACAATTAACAGAACATGTGTAACGCTACAGTTGTTATGTCTTGGATGATATCATTACCATGGCGTCAACAGATATTGATTTTTTCTGTGACAAAAATATTGAACCAGTATTTTCTATCTTGCATATAGCAGTACTGTTGTAAATAACTTCATTTCCTGTTTTAACTTCCATTTCTAATGTTTAGTTAGAACTTCTAGTTAGTCTTTTTGTTCCATTTTTGATTTCTAGTTTCCAAGTGTAATCTACCAACAATTTTGCATCTCATTTCTCCAGCTATATGTTTTCCAACCATATGTTGGCTACTTATTTTACCTGATACATTGAAAAATTTATCGCACTTTTGTGAGAAACCTGACAAATGCCATGAAGGTGTGCAATCACACAAATTGCTGAAAACCCCTCATGTGTTTATATCCCCTCCACAATCATAGCTGCACAGACATGCACATGTACATTTATGCATATTTCTCTAAATTGGCAGCATGATTAGTGTCTAACTTTGATTCAATATATTTCGCAAGAATAAATATAATTTCTAAATTTTCTTAATTTTGCACATGATTGTATATTGTACATCACCTAATAAGGAATAAATAAAAGTTTTTTTTTTTTTTTTTTTTTATGTCAGGCTTTCTAAACATGCACCATTAGCTAGCATACATCGAAATGAATATCAGTGCTGTAATGATTCCCATCAGGTGCATTCTAGTTGCCTGAGTGTGATGCACTGCAATAATCTTTGTCAAAGTTCTCGTTTTGTGATGGGTAAGGGTAACCCCGCTCGATATTAAAACTAAGGTAGAAATGTGCATGGGGGAATGTAAGGAAAATAAGGACTTTGAAATGTAAGGAAAATGAGGAATTACCTTTTTTAATCTTCTGTATTGTAATTCATTACTACTGCAAAAAAATAGGTGGAAATAAGACTTCTGCAAGAAAGGAGAGTAAATTAAACTTGTGTTGCCATTTATAAAAAGGAACAGAATTTTGAAGTTCGTAACATTTGCTATCTGTAGTAAATCTTTGAGAAATCGCAATATCTTGGAGAAAACATGTATCAGTCATGGATCTGGATTGGAAGGCCAGGTTCACAACGTGAAGTCATTTTACATGTTTCATCTGATCTAGCTATGTGGAACAGTTATAGTCAGGTAACGCTTTGAGTATAACTAGCACGGAAACATCATCTTTTCCTTGTTTTCGTAATGCATGTTATATGATGCATTTTTATGCATCAAATGAGATATATTATGCATACAACATATTTCAATAATGAAACTCGGGAGTTAGAATGGAAAGGAATTTCAGTAGTTAAGTAATAAATTACTGCAGATACAAGAAGAAAAAAAGTAAAAATGAAGAGAATTTTAAACGGAAATTTTGTTACTTTTTAAAAAGGGTGTTCAAAACAGTATTTTTTTTTTTTTTTTTTTTTTTTTTAATATTAAAAAAACTAAGTATATATAAAAAATGTAGTCAGCACTTGTAGCAAGTCTGAAAATTATTTTTCTTATGTACTTGATTTTTTCACAGGTGACTTATCATATTCTCTGTATGTGTAGTGATTCGTGTCTCATTTGTTTTCTTTTAAGTTGTACATGAGTTGTAAGCACAGTGAGTCCTATTCTTGAATTAGAGCTGCTTTCAGTATTTTGTGGGGTGTCGTGGGATTATGTCTCCTGCCTAGTCTACCTTATGGATTTTCATTGGAATTCATATCAGAAGTGTTGATATATTTATTTTTAAGAAGAAAATTTACTAGTTGAGGTCACTAAACATATTCATAATTTATCGATGAAAATAAGGGAGAAAACTTAGGTGTTGGTGTATTTAATTATGGCAAAGCACACTAGGGCTATCTGCCTAAGAGGAGGGATGCCTTTCATGGAGGACTTTCTAAGGGAAACTGGCTCGTATACACGTTACACATGGGGAAAACCACAAAAATACCCATGCAGCCAGCCCGTTCGCGGGATTCGAACCTCGGACCAAACTACCAGTGTTCAGCGACTTTACCGCTCGGCCGCTGGTGGGCCGGGAAAACTTAGGGGCAGAGAGAGATTTTCATTATGCTGTTTGTGTAACTCTTAGCAGTAAAAGAACTTCTGTTGAAGACCTACAGCTTTGTACTTTCTTAATACTACGCCATCATCTTAATAAATACCATCTTCATTCAGATCTGGTAATTGCACCCATGATATGGCTAATATACAGTAAAATAATTTTATTTTGAAGAAAATTAAAAAAAAAAAAATTGTTTCTTTTAAAATGCATAAAACTTTTATAAAACTAATAATAACCAAAAATTGAATTTTGTGTACTTTTAAAATCCCTCTTGTTCTTTTTAAATCAATTTTGTTAAAAACTATGTGTCTTATCTTTTGGAAACTATAATTAAAAACTTCAATTAATCATTAGCCAAACTTGATTTTAAAATCATTTTATGAAGTTGTTTATAAAAGTAATTAGTCTACTCATGAAAGTAATTTCTTATTTAATATAAAAATAGTTTCCTTTTAATATTGAATTAATTCTTCGTTTCATTAAAATTGTTGCTAAAAATGGCTATTTTAGTGACAACTTTATAAAATTTCTGGATTATGATAATTTTATTATTGGATATTTTCTGTCTATGAAAAATTTAGCTTATTCAATCATTATGTGTTTATTACATATATATAATTACTTTTATAGCAAAATACTTTGCTGACAGTGAGAGGAAGCTCTGAGAATTGTGACAAGAAACCACGTTTCATAACAGTAACACGGCTTGAAGATGCTCAAGCGATACGTGCAGCAGAGTTTCATCCATCTGGACAATTGTATGCCATTGGCTCGAACTCTAAAACCTTGCGGATTTGTGCTTATCCTAAAATTACAGAGCTTAGGTTTGTACCCTTCCTTTATTTTATTGTGTGCATGAAGGTTTTAATTAACAATGTCTACTCAAGTCCTCAGTTGGCCTTTATTTTCACAACTGTTGCTCATAAACATATACTTCCAATTACAGTAGTGTTTTAAATGACATGAATATTTATATTTAGGCATTTTAAAATTTAAAACAACTAATCTTGTAAAATTTACAAAATTTAACTTCCGTATATAATTATATAATAAAGGTATGACTCCTGTATAACGAATTTAAAGTTTGTGATCATATTATATTTGAAGAATTCCTATTTGAAGTTTGTGATCATATTCTCAGCTCATACATAAATTCAAGAGCAAAATGTTTACATTTGTACATAACTAAAAAATAAAGTACCAATTTAGAAAAGTATTTTTGATGTTAATAAATTAAGCTATTAATGTTGCTGTGCGAGCAATTAATGTTCGCACGTGACATTAATGTTACTGCAAGTTAATGTTCACACATGACATTAATGTTCACATTATGTTAATAAATGCTTTCATAAAAAGTTCTTGTTTGCAGAAATTTTATAGAAATAGTCCTCGAAAAACTTTGTCTGGTATTGGTACATAGCCAACTCGTAATATTATTTGCTTAAATTAAAAATTTTAAATATTTTGAGTTAAAATTTTTATTTATTTATTTATTTTGTGTGACATTTTAAAGTAATGAAACTTCATGAGAGTATTAATAATGTACTTTTAACATGTGAAAGCTTAAAAAGTACTTTTTTTTTAATTAACTTAAAGTTGTATCTCAGTTATAAATTAAAGATTTTTAAATACCACTAAATCAAAAAAAAAAAAAAAAAGGTCATTGACTAGTGTTTAACCTCCTTGCTCTCAGTGTATGATATATGATACAACTTAGCTTCTCTCCATGCTCCCACCATATCAAATGTGACATGGGAGCAAATTGTCACCGACGGCCCACTGTATCATATTTGATACATTAAAATCGAACCCCCCTTTTTCCAAATTTTAAAAGTGCGTAGACTATATCAAAATGCTGCAAAAACTTACTAAACAAAGTCTCTAAAGTGTTAGGATTGTTGTCATGAATATTATTTATTTTATTTTACAAAAGTAAAATGTGTGACATTAACAACACATGTTCTTAATTTTAAAATGCTTTATGCATTGCAAACGGAGTATAATTTTTATAGGCAAATATGACAGTAGGATATATTAGTGCTACTATTTAATAAGTCATGAGGCTTTTACTTCATTACTATGCGGAAATAATTTAAATATGGGAAAGTAATCAGTGTTACTAATATTGCATTTTAACTTTTCCTGAATTTTTATTTTAATTTTAGAATATTAGTGTTTTATGTTTATATTATAAGAAATACTGTTTAAGTAACATATGCAAGAATCCAAGTATTTAAACAGAAAGCAGGTTTTGTCGAATTTATTTTTGCATGTTAGGCTTAACTGTAAAATGCCATTGGGCTTATAGTGATGTTAGCACTAAAATGTTTAAAGGCACATGGGAGAACTTTGTTCAGTCATCATCAGGAGCAAAGAAAAAAAAAATAAACTTTAAATTATTCTAATTTATTTATTAACTGGCCTCGCATTTTGAAAACTTTGCATTTTGAAATTAAATATCTTGCTTTATATGGAAGTCAAGCTTTTTGTGTTAGATTGTTTGTAACGAGTATTAAATTCTCTTAAATATAATTATAGGAACTGGGAAAGCATGTAAAATGTTAGATTTCATAGTTTTTATAATTGGAAGTACAGTACAAAGTCTGAGAATCATCAGGATTTCAAAGATTCCAGATTTAGGAAATTTCTGGAATTTAGATTTTCGGTTTAAATTTAGTAAAATGACATGTAGATATGGCAACACTTGGGCCATCAATAACCACTTAAGGGCCAAAATTGTGATCCTGACCAACACCAATACAACACAATTAATGTTTTGGCACTGGCCATGGTACAGCTCCTTAACCAGCAGGTGTTTGAAATTGACATGCAGAAATTTCAGTTAGTTAAGGAAAAAATAGCATTTATAGTGCATCTGCTTCCTTTTATTGAGTATCTATGATTTTAAGAATTCTCAGACTATAAGTAGAGGAGTTGGAATTTTTTATATTGTTTTATTTATTTATTTTTTGTTTATACTCTGGAGTTCTGGATATTAGATCATTCCGGGTACTGGACATCTAGATTTCATACTTTGTAACTGTGTATGTATAGAATCGATGGTTGTAAAAGTAAAGGCCGCATAAGAACGTTTGTGGATATGGTGTCTACTTTGTTTTTCAAAGTGACTGAAACTTTTTTTTTTTATTTTGATAGTCCTTTGGTTGTTTTTTTTTTTAATCCAGTCCATTTGATTCAACAACAATGTGACAGAATAAATCATAACAAATTTTGTGATCCCTAATCTGTATTTTTTTTTAATATTTTAGTAGCTATTTCAAATTAAAATTCATTTATTGAATTTCAGGTTATTAAAATAAATGGTAATGTTTTTGCATTATTAATTTTTATTTAAAGAATAAAACTTTGAAATTTAGTTATATATTAAAATCAGAATTAATAATATCTAATTATGCAATAACCAAAAATAATGTAACCTTATTTACATAATATCCTGCAATTTAATTTTATGTAAAACAATTGTTTGTGTAATTTATATGTCTCAAACCATCCTGCGAACAGCATAACAAAAAAAAAAAAAAAGTAATAATAATAAACTTGCATTCAAGTTAAATTTGTGGTTCCTCAGTATGTGTACAAGAAAATTTGAGGATGATAAATGAGATTCACATTTCAGTTTATTGTCAAGAATTTGCTTGTGTTTTTTTATGGCAGTGCTTTATTTGATAGCTCAGTATTATATAATAATATGTCTTCCACCACCATTTATTTTTTTAAATAATTAGTGCATAAAATGTATAAAGAATGTTCATTATGTTTTGAATATGGTGCTGTTGTTGTACTATAAAGTAAATGTCTAAAATTATTTTCTTGGTTTTCTACATAGCTCTTCATGATTTCAATGCATAGCATCTATCACCCTTCATATTTCAGCAGGAAAAAATATTTTATGCTGTTTTTGAACCATTCTGAAACATTATCCTTCAAATCAGCAACTTTGTTGAACTATAAAACAATTTTTTTTTTTTTCCAATTTTTTTTTTTTTTTTTTTTTTTTTTTTTTTTTTAAGAAATCACTTGAGTTCACTCTGGGTAGGATCTAAATTTACATTGCTAATTAGCAATCTGAAGAATCGGCATTGTCTGCTGTGGAGCATTATTATCATGCAGGACCAATATTTCTTGTTGAGCATCTCATGGCATCTTATATTTATGGCTTGATGGATTTGAGCCAATAAATTAGATAATAAACACTTGCTTTGAATATACTATGCATTATAGGATCAATAAGTAATGAATCCTCTTCATCCCAAAAAAGTCATGTCTGAAATAATTGTAAATAGTGAGTGAAATGTTATATGACAGCACAAAATCAGCAGGAAGGCCAAAACTCTTGCATTTAGCTATGCAAAACTCTTCTAACTTTATAGTAAATGTGCTTGCCACTCGAATCTGCATTAATTCTGAAATGAGCAGAACTTGTGGTGAATGAGGGAGATAGGAAAAATACAAATACAGTCAAAAGTCGTTAATACGGACTCGTCGGGATTATAGATCATCAGTTTAAATCTGGTAAGATGGCATGCAGAAATTATAAAATTAAAAATATGAAACCGTAATTTATGAAATAAAGAACAATTATGATCTAAAGTGTATCAAAATTTACACAACAAAAAAAAAAAAAAAAAAAAAAAAAAGCTTAATATTTATTTGTTTACTTTATTAAATTTCTTTCTTTCAATGTATTCAAATATTATTTCTTTCAATGTAAGTTGTTTAAGTTGCTTCGTTTTATGTGCTAATACTTTCTGTTTAATTCTATAAACAGACATAATTTCTTGTTCAGTTACAAAGTTCCGCTGTTCAAGTCCTATAAGTGCTGTGTCGAGAATACCAATTAATTTGTCAATCGAAATATTTTCGTTTTTAATAACCTCTGCGTCACTTTCTTCCCTATCAGAAGCGAATTATAATGACGAGGAATTTGATTTAAATCATATCAAAGGCCGAATACATCGAGATGAAATACTACATTTAGTAAGGAATTATAAGCCAAATAAAATAAAAACATCTGCCCTGAAGATAAGGATAGTGCTGACCGATCAACTTCCAATTCATAGCCCACCGCGGCATCCCCCCTCCCCCCCCCAGAGCAGCATGGAATTGATAAACAGATTTTGGAATATTAGAAATGTTAGAGAAACGAAGGATATGCCTTTATCCATTTTTTGCAGCAATTCCACTTTTTGTTTAATGGACTTCGAAACATACTTTCGCTTTGTAGATCCTTTACATATTAGAAAATATATATTGGAAATTCTATTTGACATTATCGAAAGTTCAAGCTTACTTTTATAAAATTGCTCTAACAGTCTGCAAAAAATAATAAGCCAGATCCAATTCGAAGATTAAGGAACAATGCAATCTGCAACATTAACAGAATTAGATAATTTTAGGTTAGCGTATACCATCCGTTATACATTAAATGTGCATGCGTAAACATATTATGCACATGCGCTCACGCATATTCGCAGCCATAAAGGTCTTACGTGCATGCGTCAACGCGACGCATACGCAGAAAGTTTGTAGCTTTGAGGTCCAGATTACAGATCATTCCGCATTATGGGTGTCCGAATTAATGACTTTTGACTGTATAATAATATTTCATTAGTGTAATTTAAATATAAATGCTACAGAAATATTAAAAACTATTTATATTATTTTTGCAGTATACAGCACACTTTTAATGGATTATTTTTTTTCATTTCTGTTTGATCCTGAATATCACATATATATGCACATTTGAGTAAACCTTAAATATTATCTTATTAAATGTTTGTTTATTTTAATCCCTGCAAAAAAACTTTTTACCATTTCTCAGCTTTTTCTGTTTCCAAATTTCCCTTCCTAGCCACAGATTGAAAGAATGAAATGTACAGACATTGCAAAAAAATTTATATTATTGAATTGCAGTCACATTATAGACTAGTGCTATTAACAAAAATTATTTTCATGAATTAAGTAAACTAAGATTTAGCTTTAAATTCAGTATTATTGCTTGAAAAATGTTAATAAAAGAAATGAAAGATGTGTATTATTTATCTCATTTTTCTGAGAAATCAAACATCTATTTTTTGCTTATGCTTTTTAAATAGAATTTTAATTTATATTTATAAGTTCTTAAAAGGAAGTATGTTTTGTGCCAAAAAAAAGGTATTTTTGATATTTTATGAAAATGCATATTTTTCAATAAAAATTATTTGTTCTTTTAACTGAAGATTTTTTGTGCAATACTATTTTTAATTTCATATAGGAATTTCTAAAAAATTTTGTGGTTGTTCATTTCTTCTAGAATGTAACAGATATTACATTTAAATCTTTTAAGCTATTTAGTAGCTATTAAGCTGAAGAAATTTTGTTTTAATTGCTAAGATAGTTTTATGCAGTGACTGATGATCATGCTGAGTAGCATATATAGATTCAAACAAACAGTAATAAAATGTATGAACTTGATCAGCATATGTATATTTAGACAGACAATAATAAAATGTATGAGCTTGATTAGCATATATAGATTTATACAAGTGATAATAAAATGTATGAACTTGATCAGCATATATAGGTTTAGACAAACAATAATAAAATGTATGAATTTGACTACATATAATTGATTTAGATAGATAGACAATAAGAAAATGGTGTAATTTGACTAAAATAACTATGATTGTACAAACAAAGTGGCATTTTTGTTGGAAATCATCATATCATTTCAGAGAAGACCATGTTGCCCATCAACCTACAGTTTTATACAAAAAAGTCAAGCATCACAAAGGCTCCATCTACTGTTTAGCTTGGAACCCAACAGGAGAACTTCTTGCTACTGGATCTAATGATAAAACAGTGAAGCTGATGAAATTCAACATTGAAACATGCAATGTGGATTGTAAGAATAAATTTTTGTGTTCATTATTACCTTCATAGTAAACTATAATTGTTGCAGTGTTAAGCTATGCCTTACACTTTAAGAAAACTACAGCAAAATCAGATCTTCTTAATTTGTATTATATAACAATCTTGTATGATTTGTAGCAATATTTGAAACTCATCAAAATGGCTCAAAAATTTTATATTGCTTGTTGGAGTATTTTTAAAGTTTTGGGCCAAATGTTAAAAGACTTTAAACTATTTACTGTGTAAATTGTGTGGTATATTATTTGAAATATGATGTAATCTATTGACTTATGCTGTTTACAGTATCATTTATTGTAAATATTGACAAATGAGTTTTAAAATGAATAAAATCAGGTAGGTGATTTTCAGCTGTCTAGCTTTACAATATTCCTGTGTGACAAACTTGTGTTTTGTAAACTTTGAACATTGAATAAAAATCATGTGATAAAGTGAAAACAAACTAAATAAAAATTATGTATGTGATAAAGAGAAAACATTTTTGTTTGGTTAGAATTTTTTTTTAATTTTAAAATTTTAAATTATCTGCATATCAACATGAAAAAAATTAAATGTTTCATCATTTTTAAACTAGTAGGATACAGGATTTAATTTTTTTTCTTAAGTTGCTAAACAGTCAATACTATTGATATCTCCTGATGTATGAGAAAAATAGCGTAGCATAATTGCACTGTGTTGTTTGTTTTTTTGGTATTGTTGAGAGTAAGTAGTATGTAGGTTAGGTAGGCTACCACTAGTAGAAAGTGTGGTAGCCCACCTAAGGAAATATTTGATTAAGTTAATAGTTTAATGGTGTGTAATAGTGCTTCTCTTGAACTTAACGAAATAGATGAGCAGGGTGTGTCAGCCTATGACATTGGAGAAAAAACATAAAATATATAACAAGCTATGGCTAGTATAAATTTTGCAATGATAACTGCTGTGTTGTATGAATAGAGTCTACTTTAACATTACATAAGGTCTGCTGGTGCTTGGCTACAATTCCACGCATTGCTTCATAGTAAATGCAGTCCGGGACACTCTGATGAATTTCTACTCTTTGACACTTATTTCTACTCTTTGACAGTTATATTGCATGACACGTTTCCATGAATCAATCAAATTGCCGCACCATGCTTCAGAAAATCACAGCTGCTGGCCATGTCGATAACCAGTGCTACACACACCCAGAATAGGTACATGGTAGAAATATCTCCCATTCACTAAACCGATTGATGAAATTCAATTTGCATTTTTCATGTCTTAAAAGCGCAACTTAGGATATATATTAGATTTATATATAGCTTATATTGTTCAAATATAGGTATTTTGGCACAAAATTCAACTTTCTCTTAAATGACATGCCATTTTTCAATATTACAATTCTGCAACTCATATTATATCAAACTGTCAAGTTTTGTAAAAATCGCACGAGTAGTTTTTGAAACATTAGCTCTCAAAATTTTAGCTCCTCAGTGTTAATTGAATATGATATATATTTATTAATCTTTTTTTTTTTTTTTTTTTAGTAAACTTACTCAATTCCTTCTTCCAGAATTTGAAATTTATGTTCATTTTAAATAAATTCGCCCATTTATTGATTTATTTTTTAAATTTGTATTTTTAAATAATTTTTTTGAATTTTTCGAAAAATTTTGAATCGTAACCTATGAAATTTTTGCCATCGTCTTAAAGTAGATGTATTTCTAAACATACCTGAAAAAAAATTAAGAGTTTTTTATTGAAAATATGCTAGGATATACTTGAATTTACATATTGGCACATTTTGAAATTTGGCATATTCATTACAAGCGATAATAATGTCAAATGAGGTTTACGCACTTTGTTAAACATATTTGAAAGTGATGAACGTGATGTTTTTTCCAAATCATGGACAATGAAAAAAAAAGGAAAGGAAAATAGGTTGCTATAAATTAAGAAGTTTGCCAAGTGAATTATTTGTGGTGCAAACTTAAAAAAATACAGCAAGATAAATTTTTTAATTTCTCTGTAAATTTCACACCAAATTTTACAAAATTTTAAATTTAAGTGTAATTTGAGTTGTAGAATCAAAATATGGAAAAAAATTCGCATGTCATTTCAGAAAAGTCTAGTTTTGTGTCAAAATACCTGTATTAGAACAGTTGCTATATATAAATCTAATATATATCCTAAGTCGTGCTTTTAAGACATGAAAAACGCAATTTGAATTTCGTCATTTGCCCAGTAGAATGGGGGAGATACAGAACTGTCCCCCCCCTCCACTTTTTTGTTGTTGTTGTTGTTGTTGTTGTTGTTGTGCAGTGTACATTAATATGATACACAGTGTTGGAGTCTGTTGCAATGTTATATAGCTATGGAATTTTCACTTCTTCAGCCGTCTGCAGATGCAAAGGAAATGCAATTTTCCCAACATTTCCCATGTTCCAACATCAATCATCAAGTTATTATGGACTATACTCATTAAATGTATATCCTTCTTGTCTTTCCAATTCACAACCTCATTTTTTTCTCTTTTTCTGCTGAGTAGATGTTGAAGCCATCTCTCACTGTCTTGTATCTTATGTAAAATGGCGCAAATATTCCTAAAACCCAGGGGAAATTCAATTAGAAATAGAATGCCTGATTATTGCTGCCCTCTAGGAGGTATTAGAACAAACAAAAATAAAAACTCAAACAAATAAACATTTAGAAAGCGTAAACATTTAAAAGTTTTAAAATGTAGAAGAACACTTGAAGCATGTTACGGCCACCCTGCAGAAGTTTCACTTGAATGCACTAGATGCATTATGGATGACGAAGAGGTTAAAACTAGAAAACCGGAGTAATTGTTTATTTTTATGATATTTTTTAACATAAAAAAGACATAAAAATTGGAGTTTGAAAAACATTAATTCACATTAATAATTAAATGCCATTGTGATAACATTCTTATCCTGACCTATAAAAATATCACGTCTCGGGCATAGTTGATCAAAAATTATTTTGAAATCAAGCAGTCAGTTAATTGAGACCAATCAACTGATTGGCATCATGCATTTTGTATAATGTGTGTGCTTTATATGCATTAATAATGCTCAATATATCCAATAATAATTATGTATATGTTATTATTGTAATCTTTTTTTATAGCCAGTGAAGCAGAATTAACAATGCATGATGGGACTGTCCGAGATATGTGTTTTATTGAAGACACTTCAAACAGAGCAAGTTTATTAATTAGTGGTGGTGCAGGAGATTGTAAAATTTATGTAACAGATTGTGAAACTGCTACTCCCTTTCAAGCCCTTTCTGGACATTCAGGTAATATATTATGTGATTTAAATGAAAAAAGTGTTTTTAGAAATATATCTGTTGAAATTTTATTCAGTTATCTGTATTTAGATTTTTTATCCTCTTCCTGTGGGTTAGGGTAAACTATATATTCAGCAGAATTATGTTTCATATTAGAGTGAAACTTCTCACAGCTATCACTTTCCTTAGATAATCACCTCTGAAAATTAGCATTACTTCTGAAAACATAATTTAACATCACCGATCATCACTAATAGCCATATTCTCTGAAGTGACTTCATCTGCAAAACATCAATATGATCTGAAACTGTGAAAAGTTATCTTAGGGAAACTTCATTTTATTAATAAATTATTGCTTCCTGTACTTTTTCTGGTCAAATTTAATTTCATATTTCCAAAATGGAGTTTTATTAGCATTATTTGCTGTTACTCAGGCTTTTATTTCGTTTAGTATTAATTCTGGGTTATTTGTTTTCAGTTTCACAGTTTTTCAAAATAAGGTAAAGAATTTTATAAAATTAATTTTAACTTGTGTAATGGAAAGTGTCATATATATATGTGTGTGTATTTAATGTCATGAAATTTAGTTCATAGAAGATAATTTGATATGAGTGCTTGGCGAGAGAAAACACCAACTATTTTGTGGTTGTGAGTGGGTTGAAGTTGAAGATCACTGAAATATCGGATCACATATTAAAAGATGATGGGAACTTTTGAAAAATTACAAAATCACTTGATAATCCAAACATGTCTTTATTACTTGATAATTATTCTGTGTCATGGCACAGCACAATAGGGTCAATCTGCACTCAAGAATTTTAATTGTAATGCATTACATTCTTACTAATAAATAGATGCAGTCAAGCAGGAGTCCTTTATCTAGCAAGCATAAGCATAAAAAAAGACAGTTGTAATAGTTGCAGTAATATTTATAATCTCAGAGTACTTAGTTTTAATCTTACATAGTGATTAGGAAAGCATTTTTGCAATGTGGTTTCTGCAGGGAAAATGTAGATGCCTTTAAGGGGTTGTACTTTAATTGAAAATTAGTAATTTAAAGATATGTTGTCAGTTTGTTATGTTTAATTTGTTAATAAATTTCCATCACATATTTATATTTACATGTGTGCACGCACACACACACACATATAGATAGATATGTATAAAGGTAGCATTGTAGGCAATTCACATAGATAAAGAAGTCCAGTTAGTAAAAATATCCATCGTGCTTTAATGCATTAAATACAAAATGTTTCTTGTATGCAAAAACCGAGAATATATTTGAGAATAAATATACTAACTTGGATCACTGTATGATCCTATGATCTTTTAGTATCTATTATGTGATTTCTGTAATATTTTGTTAATACTTAATATTTAATATTTATGTTAATATTTAATAATGTTAATATTTAATAATGTTATTTAATTTATGTTAATATTTAATATTTATGTTAAAGGTCCTATGTTAGGTAAAATAGTGCTTGTTATTAACTTTTTATCTGGCTCCATAAAACTATTATATGTAAATAATGCTACTTAGATATTATTCCGTCGACCAGCCAAGTAGCGCAATTTAGTGCCAATTATAGACGACTGTGACGTTTTAGAAAGCCGCAATAAAAGTTGATAATATGTAAGTACCAGAATAATAATTAAATTGTTGCATAAACTTTGCATATCCCTTTCATATATGGAGCTTTATTCATTATTAATGTTTTATTCATTGGATATTTTGCTTTTGGGGAGAATAATAAAAAGAATTAAATTTTGTATTTATTGCATGCTTATATCTGTAATGCTGAAATTGTTTTTATTCTATGCATTTGAATTCCCATAATTTGCAAATGTCTGTAATTCATAGTCATTTTTGGGTGTAAATTAAATTTTGGTATTTAGAAAATTCAGCTTGCTAAATTAAACAATTTTTTCTTATACAAATATGCAAATAAATTTTTTAACAAAAATACATTGTATTTCCAGCATGCTTTTCTTGATCATCTGAATTTATTTTATTACTGAAGTTGTGTAGCATTTTTTATGCTTGCATCAAAGCTCATTTTATACGTACATTACTCACATTACTCGTTTTACAGTAAACCGAGTTCACGATTCTCTGTGAATCTTTCATTTTACACCTTTCTTTTTGGATTTTGCTTTCTTTTAAAATAGATATTTATGTGATTAGCATATGTAAAATATTTATTTCTATACAACTTTTTTAGACACAAAACTGCAATTTGTACAGAATTATTTATTCAAATGCAAACAGATTTTTAAAAATAGCACTAATAGAAGTTTTTCTGTTGTCAAAAATAGAAAGCTTGATAAAGGAAAGTGGGTTGAGAACATTAATAAATCCAAAATTTCAATTCTAACAGTTTTTTTTTTTTTTTTTTTTTTTAATCTATTTAGTTGTGTTTGTAATTTAACTTCCTATGCATCATGGATTGTAATAGCAGAATCAGCATAGGAGTTAAATTTAAGGAAAACTTAGTGCAGGGATTTTAGTAAGCAATATATTTATTTATGTATTTAATTTTCTTTCGTTTAAGAGCATAAAAGGCACTTTGAAAGTAATTTCCCTTATAAATATGCTTTTTTTAAAAAACATAAAATGCTTTGATATATTTTTACTAAAGTTTGTTACTTTCTCAAAATATTTCTCTCTCATTTATCCCTTTTTTTCTCCACTGCATTCTTGCCATGCTGTGTCTTTATCTTCTTCCTATATGTTGCTATTGTTCACTTGTCTGACCTGTATTCAGCCCAAGCTCACGAAATTCCTCGTGGCGAAGAACGCAAGTTTACGCCTGTTGTTGGCAACAGTCTTGAGCACCTTACAGGTGACATTGCAGTTTAGCTCAGTTCTGCCCCCAATTTTGATAAAAGGCACCCCAGGGGGACAAGTCTGAGGGTCTCCCACTGGAAAATTCCCTAATCTGCATAACTCTTAGGCCCGAGATATACAGTTTATCATAATTTTACTGTAGTGGGAACTATGTGTCTATAAATTAAGAAACCATCTGTAACTATTTTTTAGAAAAACTTTATGTATACAAAATTTAAATTTAAAAAATCCGAGATCCAGACTCGTCAGGACTTTGTCGATTCCGGATTTGTTATTTTTTTGGATATTAGATCATCAATTTAAATCTAGTGAGATGGCATGCAGAAATTATACAATTGAAAATATGAAATCGTGATTTATGAAATCATTTATGATCTAAAGGATATCAAAATTTACAAAAAAAAAAAAGCTTAATATTTATTTGTTTACTTTACTAAACATTTCTTTCTAATGTAAGTTTTTGAGTTGCTTTGTCTTTTTGTGCTAATATTTTCCCTTTAATTCTATAAACAGCCATAATTTTCTTTTTCAGTTACAATTCCACGGTCAAGTCCTGTAATTGCTGTGTCCAGAATTCCAACTAACTTGTTAATAGAAAATTTTTGGTTTTCAATAACCTCTCTGTCACTTTCTTCATTATCGTTAGTGGTATTTTCTGGATCTAGAAACCATATTACAAATTTTGCCGTCTGTTGCTTGATGCTTGGGGCATTGTCATTGCAATGTGAAACTTCTGTTATATTATCTTCATTTATTACTGCTTCTCCGTATTTCTTTACAAAATCCATTAACTGGAAAATTTTACCTTTAGTTTGCTATATCTGAAAACCTTCAAATTCGCAGCTATCATCTTCATCATCCTTACCATGAAATATGGTAACTGGCCATAAATTTATGCCAAGCATTTTTTAATGTATCTGGAGACACCTCCTCCAACGATTCTGCAATGCTAAACACAGCAGATTTTATGGTAAAATATTTCAAAAATTCTTGAATAGTCTCACCATTATTCAAGAAATTTACATGGATTTAAAAAATGCTACTTTATATTTGCATTTCAGTGTGCACACTATTCTCATATCCATGGGCTGAATGACGAATGTACAATTTGAAGGAAAGAATAATATGGATACATTATTTTTCACTAAAACTTTAAGAAGTATGAGCTGAACAGTTGTTTACAATCAGACCTTTTTTTGCATCATCAGGTAAACCAACTGAATTCAAATGTTGCCAAGCCTCGAGTATAAAATGATTTTCAAACCAATCATTCATTAATGCTTGTGTCATCCACACTGTTTTATTTGCAACATATATTACGGGGAAAATCATCATTCCTTTAAATGCTCAAAGCCGTGTATATTTTCCAATTACGAAAAATTTGCACTTGTGCATTCCTGTAGCATTTGCACATGCTAAAGTTGTTAGTCTCGCTTTGGAATCTTTGATACCATTTGGAGTCTTTTCTGTAGAAGTTGCCAAGGTATTTCATGGTACATATTCCCAGAAAAGACCAGTGTCATCAGTGTTGTAAATTTGTTCTGGAGATAATTTTTTATTATTTATAAGTTCAATGAATTAATTTGCAAATAAGTCAGCAGCTTCGGTATCAGCTGAAGCTCTTTCACCTGACATTTTTAATTGCCTTATACTATGGCGATTTTTTAAATTTGGTTAACAACCTGTCGAATATGTGCACTCAGTTTTTAATTTTATTTTTTCGTGAAATATTTTGGCTTGAGCCATTAGCATTGGACCTCTTAATTGCACGTCCTTGCTAAGATGCTGTCTGACCCGTTCAGTCATCACTTTGTCATGATTGTCACTTGTCAAAACGAACAATTTTTCTGCTATTCATTGCAAGTGGGCTGTCGGAATCCACAAAAAATTCAAAAGGTTCTTTTTCTTTTTTTCTTATGCCATATACAGTTGACATACTCCTCGCATAATTTTTAGATGGATATGCCTTAATCCATTTTTTGCAACAGTTCCACTTTTTGTTTAATTGACATCGAAACATGCTTTCGATTTGTAGATCATTTTCCAGCTCCAGAATTAGAAACTCTTTTTGACATAATCGAAAGTCCAGCTTTAATTTTTATAAAATTGTTGTAATAATAACAGTCTGCAAAAAATAATATGCTGGATTAAATTAGAAGTTTAAGGAAGCGCAGTCTGCTACATTAACTGAAATTCCTTAGAATCAGTAAAGATAATTTTAGCCTAGCTTAATAGTGTCCGCTATACATTATTTGCTATGTATCATAGGATTGCAGCTAAACTTTGTCTTGCTTCTATCACATATTGAATTAAGCTTGAATTGTATTAGTGTAGTTATTTATTATACCTACGTCTATTTTTTGCATATGCATAAGACTAATCTGAGTTCTGAATAAATAAACTTCCACGTACACTTAAGGCTTATCTAGAACCGGCATTAGATACCACATGATGCAGTCTCTGCAGGTCCTAAATTTTACTACGAAGCTCTAAATTTTTGTAACCCCTAAACTTTGGATCCCAGTGGCTTCTCTAAATTATACAAATTCTGTCATGCCTTAATCTTGCCGCTTGGTTCTTCTCCAGATTCTAAAAATTTTGTCTTCCCTGAATACATAATAGCTGTATAAAACGCTGTCCATATATAGCAGTTATATGTTGATATTAAATTGGATCATATTAACAATACCAAAATCTTGTGAATACTACATGTGTCACCTCAACAAATTAGAGCAATTATGGTAGGCAGAGAGAAACAATATGTTTGTTAGGTTTGAGTGCTTAATATGCTAAAGAGCCAAAACATTTTGACCATCTACTCAATAAATGCATTGCACGACCTTTGGCCTGAAAACATTGCAACTGAACTTGGCATGGATGCCACAAGTTTTTGGTAGATGACTGGAGACAGGTTATATCAAATGTCTAAGCAGCAGTCACGCAAAGTTGAGATATTCTGACCTAGTGGATGTCTGAGCTCTAAGCTGCATGACATTCCAAATGTGCTCTATTCAGTTAAGATCTGATGAGTTAGGTGGCCAGGAATTAAGTGGAATTCATCCTTATGTTCCTGAAACCAGTCCAACACAATTCGAGCCTTATGACATGAGACATTGTCCTGCTGGAAGATTCCATTTCCACAACTAACGCTGCCAGAACTGCCCATACGAACGTCTTCCAAAGCATAATACCACCACCAGCCTGTGTATGACCTTCTACACAGGAGGGAGCAACTATCCATCATCATTTGGAAGATGGTGTACCCTGACATGATTTTGCCAAGCATTTTTTTCTACCATTGATGAGATGAATGAGAAATAGTGATTCATCTGACCAGGCAACTGTCTTCCACTTATTCATGGTCCAGTCTTGATATTCCCAGGCTGTAGGCATAGTTAAAATGATGCTTTGTCAACAGAGGCACGCAAGTGAGACATCTGCTGCACAGTCCCATATCGAGCAATGTAAGCTAAACTGTGTGTTCTGATTTTGCTGTACCAAGTGGGACAGTCTATAAAATCCTTTTTCTTTGATGATGTGTAGACGTCCAACACCTTGGCATCTACTGCTGGTTTTATCATCATTTATCCACTTTCCATAAATATTAATAACAGCAGATTGTGAACAACCTACCAGTCTTGCAGTTTCAGATACTCATTCCGAGACTTGGGGCCATTACAGTCTGCCTTTTATCAAATTTGCTTAGATCAGCAGCCTTTCTCATCACGAGACTTGGGGCCATTACAGTCTGCCTTTTATCAAATTTGCTTAGATCAGCAGCCTTTCTCATCACTCACAAAATAAGTTCAAGAATGATTCCTTACAGCAACTAAATACCATTTCCACTTAATCATGTGTGCTGCACATCATCCAGACGAGTTCATTGAAGAATGTGTGGATGGTCATAATGTTTTCACTCATCATTGTAAAATGACTGCTAAGCATATGTGCTATTTTTTTAACTTTATAATAGAGATTAACATATAAAAATGTTCTTTTGGGAGGGATCTGCAGATTCTTTGTAATTCCTATGATGTATATGTGTCCTCTCAATTTGGCTCACCATGGGCCACATGTAGCACTAAAGCAGTTTTATTTAACTTGCAAAGACATTTCAATCATGTATTTGTCACAAACAGGTTGTCCATTTCAAAGATTTCAAGATTTTAGTTATTTGAAATCCAAATTTGCATCATTTTCATTTCTATTGAAAATTATCTGCAGTAATGCACTAGAAGATCTATAAATGGAATTAATTAATTTACAAATGTGATATACATTTTCAAAGAGTTGTTAGCTATAGTTTAGCACAAGTTATTTTGAAATGGAGTAATTTAATTGCTGTATTATTTACTCCTAAATGACCTGAGGAATAAATACTGTCTGAAAGGGCAATTAAAAAAAATAAATTACTAAAGATGGAATAAAATTCGTTTTGCACCCAGATGAAAAATCAAAATATAGGTTTGACACAAAATTGATAGAAAATGTATTGCTCATTTATTATAAGGAGGGAGATTTTACATCAGATAGTTCAAAGGCAAATTTTTAAATGTTTGTGATATTTTAAGTCGAATTTAGGGAGAGGGAATGTTGTTCTTATTTTCTAACTAAGTGAGAAATAGGATTTGAAAATTGTTAGAAATTTAAGTTTAAGCACACAATGCTATAATAATACATGGAAAATATAAGCTAAATAATATTTTAAATACTTTAGTAGGTAATGAAATTGGAACATCTATAACTGTTTAAACAGCAGCTGTATATATAATTCTTTAGCAAAAGAATTTTAATTAAATTCAAGTAAGAATAAACTTTTTAACTGTTCCCTTTTCCGTGTTAAAATTGTTTTATACTGTTTATGTTGCCTAAGAAATTTTTTTATTCTTGTTATTGGCTTAAAAAGTCTATTAGCTTCAAAGATTTTGTGTGGTTTCACTTTTCATTCGCGTTTTGTTGCGTTTGGAAACACGTATTATTCTCTCATGTTTAATTTGTCTGTTATTATTTAGCAAACTAAACTATTTAAAAGCAATAGATGCATATCTTTTTTTTTTTTTTTTTTTACTTTTTAATCTAACTGATTGAAATAAATATGTATTTAATTAATGATATACTATATAATTAAAAATATTTTTATTGAACCATATTACATATTTTGACACTTTTTGAATATACAGAAGATATGTAGCACTTCCATGTTAGTTAGTCTAAATGCATATTCATCTAATATCATATAAAATGTTTCGCTATACCACCTGAGCCATGTCTATTGATAATCTCTAGTGGTAAATCATATTAAACTTTAAAAGAGCCCTTTTGGGCAATTAATAAAATCTGAACTCTTTCAGATTTTATTGTATTTCACTTCCTCCCCTTTTTAGTTTGAAATTTATTCTGCATAATAAATTTTGAATCGGGTCTTATGTTAGCAAGATTAATATTTTATAAACTAAAAATATTTGCTTTTGCTACTAAATAATCTTAAATATTTTTTATGGTCCAAACTGCTGAATTTTTGTGCTGAAAATTTTTATTTTTGAATTCATTTTTTCAAATATGCTTATTTGAACATCTTCAATTTTAATTCCTAACAATTATTATTTTTTAAATAAGTTGCTTGAAAGTGGTGTAATTTTTTAAATGCAGTACTGCAAACTACTGCGATTCCTAAAATTTGCAACTCCCTAATTTGAGGCTGAAAAGTAGCTTCTGTTGCCATATCATTGAAAATAAGCACTGTTATAATACAGTATATATAATTTAAAACTATTCTTAATAATGTATATGACAAGATTTTATTATGTCAGTTCATCTCAGTATAGATATAATGTCTCATATTTTTTCAGGTCATATTCTTTCTTTGTATACATGGGGTGGTGCAATGTTTGTAAGTGGGTCTCAGGATCGAACAATCAGATTTTGGGACTTAAGAACAAAAGGATGTGTCCATTTAGTCACACCTCCTCCTTTATCTGGCTCAGGACCAGGTAATTAAATATTTATTTTTGCAAGATTCATTATAGTTAACAGTAAAAATGTTTTATAAAATAATAAACAAAAACTTAATTTTTATAAAAATTGTTTTAAGACTTTAAATTTTTAATTTTATACTGTGTTACTACTTGTGAAAATTTGGTTAGTCTACAAAATTTCTGAAATGCTTTCTCATATAACTGTGTATTATTTTTAATAAAAGCTCTATAATTGTCCTATTTATAATTGGATTTAATTTATTTTCATTTATTAATTAAATTACCAGGACATAAGAAGTACAATATTTGTGTGTATGTATAGTTTCTCTGTAAGTGGTTATGAACTTTTTGTAGTCTTTCAGCTAACTATTAATTATATGGTATATGAATTTAAACATTAAAATCTAAAGTTGTAAATTAGTAATTTTTAACCAAATAAGATATGAAGAATTAAAATGTATCTTTAAATATTTTCAAAAGTTGCAATAAATTTTGTTTAATTATATGAAGTTATTTAATATTTGAAGCTCTTGTACCTAAAAAGGTTTCAGTGTACTTTTCATATTTAATTTGGTATTGGAATTTTTATTTATACTTTAAGTACAAAAATACAATTTATCAGGAAATTTTAATGAGATACATAAAATATTTATCAAAAAGCTTTTGAATAGTGTCCAGATTTTCAATTTAAATTTTTAAGTAATTCTAGGCAGAGATGTGATTTTAAATGAATAAAAACAAAATTTTTGTGACTTGGAAAAAAAGTACTTATAATAATTTTTTTATATAATTTAATAAAACTGGTTATGAAATGGAATGTGTCTTGCACTTAAAATGTTGTTTAATGAAAGGCTATTAATTAAGGCTATTTCCTTTTTTTAATGTACTATACAGTACAAAATCCGAGATCCAGACTTGTCAGGACTTCAGTGATTGCAGATTTTGGAATTTTTCAGATTCCAGATCATCAGTTTAAATCTTAAAAGATCACATGTAGAAGTTATAAAATCAAAAATATTAAATAGTTATTTATGAAATAATGAAGCATTTATGACTTCAAGTGAATCAAAATTTAGCAAAAAAAACTGAATATTTACTTAAGTGTTTTAAGCTTTTTTTGGAGGGGAATTAATACTTTCTCTTTAATTTTAAAGATAGACAAAATTTCTTGTTCATTTACAAAGTCCTGAAACTGTCATTTCGAGAATTCCCACTAAACTGTCAATCGAAGCCTTTTTATTTTCAAAAACCTCTTAGTCACTTTCACTAGCAATAGCGATATTCTCTGGATTTAAAACCATGTGACAGATTTCGCTGTCCATTAGTCGATAACTAATTTGAGCACTGTCGCAATCGAAAACTTCTGTTATATCATCTTCATTTATTATCACTTCTCCGCAATTTTTCTCAAATTCCATTTATTGGAAAATTTAGCTTTTCTTTAGTGTTTAAAATCGATGTCAAAGTAAAGTTTACTTAATCTTGAAATAATATTCGCTTAAAACCACCACGCTGCTGAGAAAAGAAATCTGGTATGAGCAAAACACCATTTCATCAAACAAGTATATCTTGGTCCTTCACATATTGTTTAGATCAGATTTAAAAAAAAAAAAAAAAAAATATGTTCCTTGCCTCCTCCACAACCACCTAAAGGCAGAAGTGTAGTGGACACTAATGTCAATCATATTGTAATTCCTTAGGAAGGGAAAGCAAAATGCAAAGCTACTAAATAAGCCGTGAAATCTGATGACCTTCAATGTGCTGGAAGTAAATGTGTAATTATTTTAGTACCAAACTTCACTTACAAAGTTGGACTCGCCACCTTATTGCCTTATGTATTTTCCTCAATTTTGTGTTGCTGCTTTATAAGGTATTTCTCCCACCTTCTTAGCAAGCCTTCATGGTGTAGTGGTCTGCACACTCAGTGTGTAAAATTGAGAGGTTCGCGGTTCGATTCCTGGCGAAAGTGTTGCTAATTTTTCATCTTTCCTGCTTCCAAAAAATACCTAATGTCTCTACAGCTTTATAAAGCAACAAGGTTCCTGGTTGCTTCTTGAAATTATGTGCCCAGCCCACTTTCCAGAAGCCTTGCCCTCCAAACCCAGATGTCTACACCTGTCTCCAACTAAAGTTACTTTTCTTATCAACCAAATCATCTTTTCACAATGCAGTATGTGAGAAACAAAAGTGTCTGCTTTTTTTTCCTTTTCATATTCCCTTAGGAGACTATCTGAGGAATTTTCAGCTCATTAAGCCTCTTCATAGAATCAACTGAAATAGCTGGAAAGAGCTGTTAAAAATTAGCAGCAGAATGCCAGTTTTAATATAAATATCCAAATGTTTGTTGGTTAATGTATCTTTATTAAAGTAATGTATAGGAATCTCAATTCATTGGAAGGAAAATTGCTTTTACTGTAGACCTGTTTTTCTTTTCTTTCTTCCCCTCCCCCTCCCAATGATATTACCATTACCATGACTTTGTTTAAAGATAAGGGCTAATTTTCATAAAGTCTGGATATTGGATGTCTGGGTTTCGGACTGTTTATTGTTGCTGCATAAGTTTTCCGAGTGTCATTATTAGTACTGAGCTTGTAGGATTGCATTCTATAGCTTACAATTGTAAATTTCAGTTATATGCATCTTTGAGGCCTACTGATTTGTGTATATAGTTTACCTATTCTATTAAATGTTGGAAACTAAATTCAACAATTAAAACCAAATTAGCTTAAGCAGTTCTATCAGTTTTTGCCAGTGTTTCATTTATAAAAACTATAATAGACCTGCGTATGCTGGCATGTTTTTAAAATATGTAAATTTCATATTCAATATTTATTTTAATTATAAGTTCAAGTTTCAAATATTATAGTCAATTATAGTCCATATGCAATGCTAGATTTATTACTAAAAGGCATTATTTTGTAATAAAAAATTATGGTTCTTATAAATATAAAATTAATGAAATAATGTGCATACTTAAAAAATGCTTTTCTAAAGCTTCATTTCACATATAAATGTATAATTTCTTATCTGCTCAAGTTTATAAATGCTATGATTCTCATGTAACAAATTAGTTCCCCCCCTTGTGTATAGACAAATAATGATAAGAATAAAATAAAAAGGGGAAAAATAAACAAATGCATAATTTTATCTATTATTATTATCATTTGAAACTATTTCCGAAATCTTCATAATATATATTTATATATTCTTGTGATATATCAAATTATTATAAAATATTTGTTTTTAAAAATTTCATCAATACTGGCTGATATTAAGGTATTTATTAAAGGCAATCTATGTTGCATTTTTCATTTTTCATCAACAGGTAGTCCTGTTGCTACTATTTGTGTCGATCCATCTGGAAGGTTACTTGTATCAGGTCAAGAAGATGCCACATGCATGCTTTATGACATAAGAGGTGGAAGGCATATTCAGTATTTTAAACCTCATACATCAGACATACGGACAACAAGGTTTTCTCCTAAAGCATATTATCTGCTCACAGGTTCATATGATCACAAAGTGGTGCTTACAGATTTACAAGGTCAGTCAATATTTTTAAATTTTAGATGTGTTGGGAAGTGGGGCTTATGAGAACCAGAAAATGCTACATGACTCAAAATTTTCTACCTAAAAAGTAATACAGTCAAAAGTCGTTAATCCGGACTCGTCGGGACTTCGGCGATTCCGGATTATCGATTTTTCCGGATTATAGATCATCAGTTTAAATCTGGTAAGATGGCATGCAGAAATTATAAAATTAAAAATATGAAACCGTAATTTACGAAATAAAGAACAATTATGATCTAAAGGGTATCAAAATTTACAAAAAAAAAAGCTTAATATTTATTTGTTTACTTTATTAAACATTTCTTTCAATGTAAGTTTGTTTAAGTTGCTTCGTTTTTATGTGATAATACATTCTCTTTAATTCTATATAAACAGACATAATTTCGTGTTCAGTTACAAGTTCCCGCTGTTCAAGTCCTATAATTGCTGTGTCGAGAATACCGACTAATAATTTGTCAATCGAAATTTTTTCGTTTTCAATAACCTCTGTCACATTTTCTTCGCTATCCGAAGCGAATTATAATGACGAGGAATTTGATTTAAATCATATCAAAGACACATCGAGATGAAATACTACATTTGAGTAAGGAATTATAAGCCAAATAAAATAAAAACATCTGCCTTGAAGATAAGGATAGTGCTGGATCAACTTCCAATTCATTGCATGCCACCCGGTGTTAAAGATAAACAATGTTTAGATAAACAAACGTTAAAGTTTACATAAACAAAGGATATGCCTTTATCCATTTTTTGCAGCAATTCTACTTTTTGTTTAATGGACTCTGAAACATACTTTCGCTTTGTATATCCTTTACATATTAGTAAATATATATCGGAAATTCTATTTGACATAATCGAAAGTTCAAGCTTACTTTTATAAAATTGCTCTAACAGTCTGCAAAAAATAATAATCCGGATCCAATTCGAAGATTAAGGAACAACGCAATCTGCAACATTAACTGAAATAGATAATTAGATAATTTTAGCTTAGCTTATCCCGTCCGTTATACATTAAATGCTCATTCGTAAACGTATTTTGCGCACGCGCACACGCAAATTCGCAGCGGTAAAGGTCTTACGCGCATGCGTCAAAGTGACGCATGTGCAGAAAGTTTGTAGCTTTGAGGTCCGGATTATAGATCATTCCGGATTATGGGTGTCCGAATTAACAACTTTTGACTGTATAATGAATATTCCTTTTTATTAGGCTTGATATACATCTTGGTAATGAAGTAAATTTTTCAATCAAAAAATCTGTGCAGATAATGTATTATGGCAAAGTATTTGAGAGCTATCTACTTTAGTAGTCTGAGGTATGGATATAATTGGTTATAAGAAAGAATCGGCTATTATTATGTATGTATGTTGTTTTGATTGAATTACATTTTTTGTAAACAAAAATTAAAAGTAAATGATATCTCTGAGGATAATTGAATACATTATTTTAATGCATAAATCTCTTCAAATTAAGCATATTACAAGAAAACTTAGCAAGACAAGATATGTGTTCAATAATTTCATAATATTCTTTCTTCATTTGTTTGCATTTCTGCTATGGCAGATTTATAAAGTAGGTATCTATATCACCTAAACTTTGGGGAAGCATTTATCTAAGACATAACACATATTTAGTATTGTTATCTCCTTTACACTGTTTTTTCTTTGTATAAGGAGAGTGATTTGAGGGCCTTTTACAATGTAGAATTTGTAATTGCAGCTTGCACATCTCGTAAATCTGCCTCTGCATTCTTGAGTGATTCACTGTTTTAGGCTCAAATCTGTAAATATAAAAATTTGTATATGACTCAAACATGGTATTGTATAATATTCACAAAAGCCAGCCCAGCAGCGGCTGAGTATTAAAATCGCTGAACACTGGTAGTTCTAACCTAGGTCCGATTCCAGGTGAATGGGCTGGCTGCATGGACGTTTTCATTGTGTTCCCCGTGTATAACATGTATACAGTCAAAAGTCTTTAATCCGGACTCATCGGGACTCGGCGATTCCGGATTATAAATCATCAGTTTAAATCTGGTAAGATGGCATGCAGAAATTATACAATTAAAAATATAAAATCTTAATTTATGAAATAAAGAGCAATTGTGATCTAAAGGGTATCAAAATTTACACAAAAAAAGCTTAATATTTATTTGTTTACTTTATTAAACATTTCTTTCAACGCGTGCATGCGTAAAGCATACATTACGCATGTACGCGTTGTTGAAATTAGAAAATTGCAACCAGAAACGCATGCACGCGTAGTCGAAATTAGAAAATTGCAACCAGAAAACTCTTTTATGCGTATTTGTGATATTTATAATGACGAGGAAATTGATATAAATCATATCAGAGTATATTGAGATGAAACACTATATTTAGTAAGGAATTATAAGCCAAATAAAATAAAAACATCAGCCCTGAAGTTGAGGATAGTGCTGACAGATCAACTTCCAGTTCATTGCGCGACGCGAAATTAAAAAAAAAATTTCGGAATGGTTAGAGAAACAAATCACCTCTCTGTCACTTTCTTCATGCCTTTATCCATTTTTTGCAGCAATTCCACTTTTTGTTTAATAGACATCGAAACATGCTTTCACTTTGTAGATCCTTTGGCAGCTCCAGAATTGGAAATTCTATTTGACATAATTGAAAGTTCAAACTTACTTTTATAAAATTGCTCTAACAGTCTGCAAAAAATAATAAGCCAGGTCCAATTCGAAGATTAAGGAACAACGCAATCTGAAATAACGCGACTGAAATAGATAATTAGATAATTTTAGCTTAGCTTATACCGTCATGCATACCGTATGCATGCGCAGAAAGTTTGTAGCTTTGAGGTCCAGATTTTAGATCATTCCAGATTATGGACATCTGGATTAAAGACTTTTGACTGTACAAGCCAGTTTTCCTTAGAAAGACCTCCATAAAGCCCCCTCTTCTCGGTCAGATAGCCATAGTATGCTTTGTCATGATCTCAATATTCCAAACCAAATGATTCATAAAGGCCTGAATTTAGTAATTTATAATAAATTATCACTACCACTTCATAAAGAAAATGAAAGGTAGAAAATTGATTTCTATACCTATTTAATTTTAATTTTAATTTTTAGCTAAGCGTATATTTTTTAGGCGATTTTTGAAGCGAATGTAAAAGTATATCACTCTGTAACCAGAAATTTAATTTGTCTTTTTTCACTGTCGTAATAGTCATAATTCTCCATTCAATTCATGACAAATTAAAATTCTACTTAAAATGTTGCTTTTCCAAGTTATTTAAAATTATCCACTGTTTATAATGTGTAAGGCATTGTTACAAAATTTCCGGGGTAAGATAGCTTCCCGGTTGTCAGAAAATGGCAAAAGAAGGCAGGGTTGCCATATTTGGCGAGAAATAGCCCATATGGCGACAAAATTGCCAATATGCCATAAACGGATGGAGAACTTTCTGGAACGAATTCGGTTATCGGTTTAGCAAAGAATGTTCTCAAACACAAGCTAAAAGCTATATAAACCATCGAGTCCCAGAGAGCCCATCGAGTTAATAGTCAGTCAATGTCTCGTCTAACGAGTTGATTGCGAGTCAGTGAGTGCCTAGTCAAGTCAGTTAAGAGTCAGTGAACGAATGTCTCGTAGTCTAGTGCTATGTTGGTCTTCGAGTGCATCGAGAGAATCTTATAGTACATCGTTGAGTATTTTCTAAGAGCTCCGAGAATGGGCGAATAGAGTCGAGAGCTGTATTATGGTGTATCATCGAGTGCATCGCAATATTGTAGCATGGAGAGTCTTGAGAGTACGTTGAGTTCCGAGCAGAGTTGGGAGCTGTACTCTGGTGCTTTGCCGTGAAGCTGTCTTCACCATTATAGCCTGAAGGCTGTGTCACTGATTGTTTCAGCATGTTTATAGTAGTTCTCCGATGACTGTAAAAATGTTTTTTGGAGCAGTCTTGAATAATACTAGCTAATAAATTGTGTTTCAATACTTCATCAAGTGTTGTCGTTATTCACTCCAAATCCACGACCCTGTATGTACTTAAGAAAAACGTAACAGTATGATTGTAAAATAATAAACAAAACTAAGAAATCCATAAATCTCCAAGTCCTTATTTATTTAGTGGTTCTACTTTCATTGAACATGATTTTAAATCTAAACCTTTCATTTAATTCCATTATTCTTAAATTATTTTCTGACAAGTTTAGATTTAACCATGTTATATTTAATTTGCACTTATTTATGATGATAATGCACAATTAAAGATTTGATCTATTTTAATTTGAAGTAATTTTTAAACACTTTGTAAGTTTAATTTTTAAAGTACCTTTTTGTTATTTATCTCCATATCCTAATGCTGATTGATTGATAATTTGTCTTTATTTTAGAATTTTTACAAAGTTTGACAAAAAAGATCTAGGATTGTTGTTGGTATCGGTTGTCCGGAAAATAATGCAGGTTTTTCCAATTGTTTATCTTTCCTGTACGTTGCTTTGATCTTCAGCTGTTGATGACGATGATTTGAAGACTTAAGTTGAAACAAATCCTTGCATAACTGTTCAAGAGCTTACAGAGGAGCTTGGAGGAAGCAAAACAACAATTTTTGATCACTTTAATCGTATAGGAAAGTCCAAGAAGCTCGATAAGTGGGTGCCTTACGAACTGAAGCAAAAATTTTAAAAATTGCCATTTTGAAGTGTCATCTGCTTTTTCCGTAACAGAAACAATCCTTTTCTTGATCGAATTGTTACGTGTAATGAAAAGTGGAGTATCTCCAACAACTGACGACATTCGGCTCAGTGGTTGGACCGAGGTCAGACACCACAACACTTTCCAAAGCCAAATTTGCACCAAAAGAAAATTATAGTGACTGTTTGGTGGTCTGCAGCCAGTCTCATCCACCACAGCTTCCTAAATCTGGGCAAAATGATTACAGCAGATAAGTACTGTCAAAATCAACGAAATGCACCAAAAATTGCAATGCATATGCTTGGCATTGGTCAACAGAAAGCGGGCAGTTCTTCTCCATGACGATGCTCGGTCACACGTTGTGCAACTGACCCTACAGAAATTGAACGAATTGAGATATGACTCTCCCTCTTCCCCCATATTGACCTGACCTCTCGCCGACCGATTACCACGTTTTCAAACATCTAAATAACATTCTGCAGAAGAAATACTTCAGAAACCAAGACAATGTCAAAAACGCCTTTGAGAACTTTATAGTGTCCAGAACTCCAGAATTTTATTCTATTGGCATAAATAAACTTATATCTCTTTGGCAAAAATGCATTGATTTGGCTGGTGCTTATTTTGATTAATAAAATTGTTTTTGAGTTCAGTTATGATACTTTAAAGATATAGGTTAAAAACCTGCATTATTTTCTGGACAACCTAATACAAGTAAAATTAAAGAAAAATTAAAGGCCTTGTATTAAAATGTTACAGTCATGATTATTCAGAGTAATCTCACCTCTTCTTAATGCATGAATTTGATTTCTCCAGCAGATGTTCAAAACTGATTTTGAAGTCAATTTGATTTTTATTGGATTGCTGTCAGGTTTGGAGATATAAGTTTCCTTAATGTTATGAAGCTTTCTCTTTCAATGCCTCTTTCGGTCTGGGAAGCAGATAGAAAATATTGGTAGTGAAAAGTAAGAAGCAGGATATCTTATTTGAGCCTGAGAACCCTGTGGCTGAAAACTATATACAGTCAGTGCTGTACATATCAGTTTGTTGTCATCCAGGAGGAGCCAGATGCCACATTTTTTGGAAGTTTGGCTTCGCACTGTGAGTGAATCATTATCTATCATTAGCTGATAGGGAATTTTACAATCTGAAAGCACAGTGAAAACATTTCACAATTTTATTTGAATGGCTGATGGGTACTCTTACACTTTCCTTGTCATCTCCACCACTTTCCTTTTATTCTTGAAACTAACTATATCTTCCAAATACATGATTGTGGAATAAAAGGGCATTACTGCAGAAAACTTTAAGATTCTGATCAAAGTCTGCATTACTGATTTTCCACTGAATGGTTTTATGAAGCAGAATTTGATGTTTTGTACATCACAATAGAAGTAAGGAGGTCTTATTTAAGAGTTTCATTCTCTTTTTAGTCTTCAGAATTCAACAGATCTCCTATTCCCATACTTTTATATGTTCTATATATAATTTGATACATATAACGTACTTTTGTATTTAATATTAACAGAATAACAGCAGCAATCCTCACATTTTGTTGCCAAATCTTGTAGAAACAATATAGTTTTGGCTGTAATGTACATTACAATTGAATCTAGTAGTAATGATACAAACAATGTAAAATGCAATTTCTTGACCATTAAAAATTTTTAGTCAGCATTTATCCAAAATTTTTGTTTATGTTTTGCTATATCTTTTAAATGATTTGTTTGTTTACAGGTGATTTAACACAACCATTACCCATGATTGTAGTTGCAGAGCATAGCGATAAAGTAATCCAAGGTAGATGGCACCCTCGAGAATTTGCATTTCTCACAACTAGTGCTGACAAGACTGCTACACTATGGGCTCTTCCTCTTCATTAAGTTTTGTTTTAATTTGTTTTTAAGAGTTTCATGCTATTCTGAAAATAGTTATTTACATGTTTGATTGCAAGTAAATGTACTTAAAGTACTCATTATTGTAAGAACCTTTTTTAAAATGTATATGTTGCAATGAAAATATTTCTCTGGCATTTTAGATCCAGAAATTGATTGATAATTAACTTCTTTCTTGAGAATTCTCATTTCTGAATCTTAGCAATGCTTGATTAAGTTCACTCTGACAGTTCATCAAATTGTGAAATATAATTGTCAAGTCAGCATTTAAAAGTTTGCTAAAGTCTTATACAGTTGTATGGAATATACTCTTCTCTGTAACATAATCAATGACTACACAATTGTGCAGTGAAACTCTTCATGTTTTAAAATAATTTTATATTTTACATTTAAATTTTTTAAACAACATAGTTACCAACTATCCCTCACTCCCAGTTTTTAATTTTTAGTCTTTAATAAGGAAAGTATTTTTTTAGCTACAAATAAAATTTACTGAATTAATGAAACTTATGAATATGTAGTTGAATATGTAGTTAAATATTAATATATATTTTATCAGGATCATATTTTAATTATAGCACAAAAACCTACTGGAAACTCCTGGTTTTACCTATTTCAAGGTTGGCAGCTCTGAAATAATATGCTAAATTCAAAAAAATAAATAAATAAATAAAATAAAACACCCTCCCTCATAAAGAAAATGTTATAATATTTAGAATCTTAATTACAAAGAGTTCCATAAAACCCAAATCATATAAAGTGAATTTAAGTCAGCTTGGAATTCCCATGAAATGGGAGTTACCATATAGCATGAAAAACCTCCCAGTTATCTCACAAAAATCCCTAGTTTTTCAGATTTCAAGGTTGGCAACTATGGTGGCAGGCAACTTGCTGAGCTGATAATCCTCTTCCATTATCCCAATCAATCATTCTTCCCTTCTTGAATTCTGAGAGCTGATCTTATTGTCTTTAATGGTGGTGTAACAATGTCCGTAATGAAAAAATATCCTTCTGCAACAAATTAAATGCAGACAAGATTCCTCTATATACCTTTTTTATGCACGAGGGAGAATGAATTTCAGTGCCCTCTGGTTGCAGTATGTGCATTTCTAATCAAATGATATCTGCTTGACACATATCTTCATGCCAAAATTTCTTTATGGTACAATAATTTCTTTTTGGAGGCAAATTTTTATGGTAATGTAAATATTTTCAAAGTTGAATGGATTTCTTTTATATATATTATATATTTTTATAAATGGTCAAGAAATAAATATGTCAAAGAAAGAATTGTGTGATCTTTCAGTAGTCTGTACATTTAAAACCAGGTAATTTAATGAATTTAGTTTTCTTGGCAGCTATTTTTTTCCCTTGGGGGAGGGGGGGCTTGCACCATGAGTGAAATTTTCTAAATTATAATATGAATTTATTTCAAGTGATCATTTCCACTGCATACGACTGAATGAAATAATTAACATTTACTAGATAATTTTGCTTCTTGAAGAAGAGTCTCATGTCACAGGCATTTTTGTGAACATATTTGAAAACATTAATAAATTAATCACAAATCATAAAGATGCTTTATCATAATGTTACGAAATTTCTAGCATATGTGATTATGTGTGAATGTTTTAATCGTATGAAATCTTAGTAATAGCATTTAAAATGTATTGAAAAATAATCCAGCATCAGTTGTATGTTAAAACAATAGATATTGATGCAAATGGATGATAAATCCAAAAAGCATATTCTCACATGCAGGTTCCATTTTTGGCATTACATGATCATTTTATTTTTTTGCCTGATTACTTTAAAGGACAATAAGTAAAGTTACTAATTTTGTGAATGATTTTTTTTCCCTTACTTCTGTGATGATTGAATTGCAAGCATGTTGGTAATTAGAATAAAACATTTTGTTTATTTGCCTATAAAATGTCATTATTATTAGTTTATCTATATGGAAAATTTAGCTCTTAGAATGGAGTGTTTAATTTTGATGAAGCATATTTGATCTACCTACATAAAGAGTTGGTTAATTGATTAAAACAAAGCACATGAAGGTTATATGCTTAAAGAGAGAAATTTCTCAGTGGAGCACTTTCTAAGGGAAAGTAGTCCACATTTACATTACCATATGAAGGAAAAAAAACGATGAAAACCCCATACAGCCAGCCTGTTAGCATTTGTGCTAAGCAAAAGGAAGGTTGCCTTTGTACATAATTTTCAAATGAAAATTCTTTAAAAATTTTAGCCTTTTTTATAATATGAATGGGAAAACACCAAACTCCCATATAGCCAGTCTCTTTCAATCACTTGGAAATGCAAAACTTTAGATTTATGGTTTTAAAAATAGCTGCTGCTTGGCTGTACACAAGAAATTGTCCAAAGGAAATCTTTTCGTAATTTGAATTGCATTTTAAAAGCACGCTTCTGCATAATTATCAAGTATTTTGATAATGCTAAGAAATTTGTCAGTATCTGATCCATTTAATAGTCAGCTTATTTTGGGCTGTTCTTAGAAGGGCATCTTCCCTTAAAGGTTATAAAAGTTACCATTGTTGACGATTTCATAAGAAAACAGTAATGTATTTGCATTACTTGTGGAAAAAAAAAAAAAAAAAATATTGTTCATCTAATATCTTGAACGGTTAGTGCTATTCAACAAATAATAAATGACTCAAATTTTAATACTAGAACTACTAATCCTTCAAAATGACTTTCCTGCCTTGGGAAAAATAAGCAGACATTAACATTTAGTAGTTCTAGTGTTAAAATAAGTTTAGAGGTATGGAAAATAGTACAACTTAGTGTAATCAGTTAGCTTGTTTTAAAAAGGGGGCCAGCATCATATGTTACATAGTAGCTGTCACAAACAGAGGCTTGCTTTAAGCTATTTTAATATTTATTTAGAAGTTTTAATTTAAGATATGCTTTCATTGCTGCTTATGTTTAAGGAGAATTCTCAAGAAATTTTGCATTGTTGATTCAAAAAATGAAAGACAAATAATGCTTTTGCTCAATGTATTGTAATTATTTCTGATATGTATGTTTACAGTAAATGTGACATACTTTTTAAGGTATTTATGTCAGCTTTGAATGAAGTATTGTTAAATTTAAATATTTTAAAATATTTTTAATTGAACATGACATATATTCTGTAAAAGCAATTACATATATTTAAATTTTTTATGAAGTGGATTTGTAAATACTGTCAAATTTTGCATGAGGGCCAATTTCTTTTCAATACAATGTTTATTAAAAATATGTATAAAATGGGCTATTCTCTAAAAAGCAACAGAATTTATGTACCCATTACAGCTCAAATGAGTAGATTTATATGCTGCATTGTATTGTACCAATTTTTAAGTATTTTGTATTAATATATTTTCCCTTTTATGTTTAAAAAAAATAAAATATATTATGAAGTTTACCTCGATTCTAAATTTCTGAACACATCAATTATACGCCTAAGAAATAAACAATGAGTTAATAATTTATATTACATTATAAACTTTTCATGTATGTGACTACTTCTGCATATTTGTACTTGGTTCATACGGTAATTAAAGTCCTTCCCTTCGGCATTTTAGAAATGATTTTTGCTTCTTAAAAGTTCTCAATTTCAGCCAAAATTAGCACAAGGTCCTTAATTTTAATCATCCCGCTTTTTTTTTTTTTTTTTCCCCTCCCTTTCTCGACCGCCATTTTGAGTTTGAATTAACATGTTGGAGGGATATTTTTCGATTCAATATGCATTTCGTGGGTTATCATTTAAATTCTTTCCTACTTCTTAGGACATAATGGGGACAAAGCCCTGCCTCAATTGAAACAGTAACATTTCATCCTTTTTTGAGAATGAAGAGTTCATAAAATGTTATATCAAAAACGTCCTTTGTCTTTTTGAAATTTGATTTCTTTTATTATGCGATACTAAATTTGGCAACTTCAGGATAATTTGTATATAAAACTTTTGGGATATTCGTGAATTTTTCAACGAACATAATGAAATTGATAAATATCATTAAAATAATGATAATATATTAAAACTGTAATTAATAGATAGCATTAAAATAAAACATTGTTAAAACTGTAGTTAATAGATAGCATTAAAATAAAACATTGTTATTTTCTCGTGTCGTATTTTAAAATAGCATTACTTTTCCATTCTGGTGATCTAGTAATATTTTGATTCTGAAAAATAAATGAGATAATAATATGAAACACAGTTTCTGAAGTATTTCTTAGCAAAGGAAAAAAAGCTACTGTAGTTATTTTTAAATTAATTTCATTTTTCTTCTTTTATATCAGGTTTTAACAAAAGTTTTCCGCCACCACAAATATCGCCTGTGCAAACAGTTCGCATTGCCGTGTTTAATCATATTTTGTCAAAAACATTTTGGCATTTGAAAGAGACTTGCTTTATAACACTGTTTATGAAATTTATAATAAAAAAAAAAAAAAAAAAAAAAAAAAAAAACCATCGTTATCATTAAGGTATCTGAAATGGAACTACAATGCTACCAGATTAGAACTATCATTTACTTCCAATACTGTTACAAAAAGTCAGCTAAAGAATGTCACCAAATCATGTGTACAGCTTTAGGTACTAATGTTTTATCATATGACACTAAAGGTTTCATATAGAAAATTCAAAAATAAGGACTATCGCATTGAAGAAGTAGAGCACTCTGGCCAGCCTCTAAGAACTTGTGAAAGAAGATCGGTATGCAATCACTTGAGAGCTTGCTAACGAATTAGAAGTTAGTGTTATGTCCGTTAGTTACACTATGCATTGCATTAACTTGATGTACAATTTCAATTGATGGGTGTTGCATGAGCTGATTCAATCAGATAAAGACAGACATGTTCGGGCTTGCACTATTCTGCTCGAATATCAATGCAAGGATATGGACTGGATCATCACTTGTGATGAAAAGTGGATTTACTTCAACAACACAGGCTGGAAAGGGGTTTTGTCTTTGCCCGGCTAGCCAGTCAGCAGCGTCACAAAATGCAATTTGACTAACAAAAAGATCATGCTTTGTATCTGGTGGGAATGCCAGACACAATGTAGTATCCACAAAGAGTATCTCGAAAAAGTAAAACCGTCAACAGTAAGGTGTACACACGTTGAACTGAATTCTGGCACAAAAAGGTAATGTTCCATCAAGATAATGGAAGACCACATGTGTCTGCATTCACTGGCTGGACTCTGTACGGACTTGAATGGGATCTTTTGCCACGCCCACCATATAGCCCCAACATGACTCCTTTGGACTTTTTTCACATCTGCAGTTACATCTTGATGGTGCTATCTTCCATTCTACACAAGACGTCCAAAATGAGGTTGATTTGTTTATGGACTCATGGCCACCGTGTTTCGGGCTGCGAAAAATTACCAAAACATTAGCAGAAAATTATAGATTCGGGTGGTGATTACTACCCACAACAAAGGTATTGCTTTCATTCCCCCCCTAACTTTATTAAGAACATTTTTCAGTGGAAAACTTTTGTTAAACCACATATTTTTTCCATTAGAGTTCGTAGTTTTAGAATATTCCAATGTATATATGTTTATCTTAAAAATTCACTTTACACATTTTTTCCTGAATATTTCATTAAAAAAATCTTGTGACTTTTTGCTGTTTCTGAGTTGGAATAATTTTTAGACCTTGCACCTGAGAAGGTTTAGAAGGATTTTAAAGCATGATTATACGTCCAGAAAGATTTGATCAAATGAAAGATGTTTCCATAGTATTAATTAACACGTAAATGCATTTTATAGGAAATTTCTGGTGAATTTCTTAATTTATTTTTTCTTTAACTTTTGGAAGAACGGTGGGAACAAAGTTATTTGAATTTTCTGCTTTTGGTCTTTATTTTCTCATCTTTTCACACTAGACACAAGCATGTAAAATAGCAAAATTAGTTCTAATCTGATCACATGGACAGGCATCAGTATAAAGGAATTTTTCTGTTAATAAAGAAATTGAAAACAGACAATTTTAAAGATTCATTTTATACGTTTCACTGCACTATACACAGGGTTAGCATAAGGTATTTTACCATCTGATGCAGTTTCTATGGTTCCTAAGTTGTGCTGCCAAGTGTCTGCCCTAAATTTTTTAAGTTTTACTATCCCTAAATTTTGCCGCTGATTGCTTCATTAACATCTAAAAATTTTACCACACTGGCTGCGGTTCCAGTCCTGATCATGTATCATTTCAGATTTATTCTTAGTACCCATATTATTAAAGAAATAAGCATCTTTTATACCTTCTAAATACATGCAGTTCCTTAGAATAAGGAAATCTTCAGTTAAATCTGAAATTCTAAAATGTAGAGAAAACTTATTGAGAAAGAAATTATTCTTCAAAGGTATATTACAATTTAGGAGATGAAACAGATACTAGTAGAAACATTGATTAGTTTATCAAAACAAAAAGATATTAAAGAGAAGAAAATTGATATAAATTAGCTACATCTTAAAAATCTATATCTTAATAACTAAATCTTAAATATCTTAAAAATTTTCAAATTAAAAAGGCTCATAAATATTTTGATGTGTATTGTTGCTATGAAACATATGTTTTATATTAAGCATTAGATTAAGTTTAATAATAAATAATGTGTGCTACTTAGATTTATTTTATTCTTAGAATGGTATTACATAAGTGAAATTTGGATATGGTAATTGCTTTAGTTTATTCAATTCCTTAATTTTTCTCATTAATGGTATTTAAAAGTCCTTAGTTTCAATGTGCTAAACCCTGTATGTAATAGCTCCTAAATTTCCCTTTTTATACAGATATTCTCCTTCACTGTTCTGAAAAATTGTAATAAATGTTTATAATGTGGCTTTTCAAAATTATTCCATTATATAATACAAATGATGCATGTATTTACATAACAGCAAAAATGAAAGTAAATTCTTTTATTAAACCAATAATTATAAAATGACTGTTGAGAATTTTAAAGTAATTTCACGGTTATTAATCTAATACCAGTAAGCATAATCTTGCTCTTCTTTTATCTACTCTCTGTCCAGTTAACATATTTTGTCTTACCACCTCTCTTTATCATCAATAATAATGTAAATATATAAAACATATACTTATTGAACAGCAAACACGTCTGTTGTGGTGCATAGATTGTTTCATTATATTTGCCCTAAAAATTCTGTCTAAATAAAGATATTGTTCAAAATCAACAATATCCATGCCTAGAAGAGCTACTTTCATAACCTTTGGGTATTTTAAATAAACGAATGTAATGCATGTGTCCCAATGCAATCAAGAAAAAACTGAAATGCTGAAAAAAATGTATATAAATTTATGTAATGGAAAAGTTATATACGACATGATAGATTTCACTGTAATACAATAGCACCTAATCTTGGAACATTTCACAGCAACGGTGAAGGAAGAAATGATTTTGTGTCACATAGCATATTCTTTTTTAATATAGAAAATCACACAATCAGTACTTCTTTATCATTCTTGTCTTAGGAGAGTGTGAACTGTTCATTTTATAAGCTGTGAAAAATTCAAAATTTTGCAATCAATGCATTTTTAGATGTTGAAATTTTAAAATCATAAATGTCAAACAGACGAAAAATTCAAGCAATTTTCAAAAACTGGCAAAACATCATTTCTGACGGTAAACATTTGATAAAAATTTCATTTACAAAATTCTTTTCTTACTGTATATGATGGTGCAAATAGTAAATTTATGAGATATATAGTTTATTCATTAAATACAGATACGAGTAAAAACTGAACATTAAACTTTAAAAAAGTCACTTCACCACATTGCATTCTTATCTATAAACAAAGCATATACAAAATTTAAATCCGCAGCTTATTTAAAAGTAGTTCCATAGTCACAAACACCATGAATGAAAAAATAAAGAACTTCATGGCAACACTCCAAGCCTTACAGCTACCACTGGCAAGAAACATTTAGCTAGCCATAATCCAAGACTCCATGTCCTGAAGTATTCATACCTTTTTAACCTTTCAGCCTAGCAGTTCTTTCCCTTTTTCATTGAATTTAAGGCAGTTTTCAGGTAACCGGCCCTTGGTGATTTGTTGACATCTTGGAAGAGTGCATGTATGCCAGATTATGGTAACCCTGACAAGGTTACAACCCTGCAACCCACTCAGGGAATTTTCCTGAGTCCAATTTGCAAGTACTGCATAAGTATATCCTTTATATGATAGCTGGAACTTTTCTAATGAACCATGATTACTCTGTTATCTGTATTTCATAAGAAAATTTTCGAAGTTGGAAATTTTCATTAATGTTAACTGAAATAAACACAAATCACAGAGAAGTGCAGAAGAAACTATTGTAAGTGATAGCTTTTGTGAGAAATGAAGATTAGAAAATTTCATATGAGATATGATGTTTTGAATCTTATTTTTCTAA